CCACTGCTCTAGACCCTTCCAGAGCTGAGATATTGAGATCCCACGTAGCATTTATGCCACTATAAAAATCTCAATATCTGAGCTCTGGAAGGGTCTAGAGCCTCCATTTTTGCACTCAGGTCTAAGTCTCATGACCCTCTATCAGAATCCAGAGTTTCAAGAAGATTGGAGAAACTTATTTTTTCGCACCGGAAAAAAAACGACAGGGGTACCACTGTCATTTTTTTTTAGGGGTCGAAATTGTGAGTTTCTCTGATCTTCTTGAAACTCTGGATTCCGATAGAGGGCCATGAGACTTAGACCTGAGTGCAAAAATGGAGGCTCTAGACTCTGGATTCTGTTTATTTGTAATGTACTGATAATAGTTTCATATAATTAGTTTGTTAATTAAACTAATAATTATAAATAATTGATTTCCGTATAAAATAATACTACTTAAAAATAAACAGATGAGTGCCCTATTTTGAGGACAAGAAATGAAAACCAATGCGGTATGATAAATGTCCAAAAGATGGAACTCTGTAATGGCCACCTAGTGTTCAGTAGTGTTCATGACACGTTGATATGCCTTTAACCTGTTAACATCCGCTCTTTCGACATGTATGTGAAGAGTGTGCTTAACTGAAAGAAAGCAACTATAAAAGGACTCGTGGAACAACCAGTTGGTTTGCACTGTCTTTCCTATTCTTCTTCTTGGACCTCAAACTCTGACAGACTGTTTCAAACAGGGGTTGGATACATATGTTTTGCTTTTAAAGGGTTAGTTCACCCAAAAATGAAAATTCTATCAGTATTTACTCACCCTCATGTTGTTCCAACCCCGTAAGACCTTCGTTCATCTTCGGAACACAAATTAAGATATTTAGGATATTAAAATCGCTCCTGCATCCAGTCCATAGGCTTCTTGAGGGACTGGCTCTTGCTGTCCTCGAAAAGTAATTGAAGACATCGTTAAAATAGTCCAAGTGACTACAGGGGCTCAATCTTAAGTTTATCAAACGACGAGAACACTTTTGTGCGCAAAAAAACAACAAAAATAACGACTTTATTTCAACTATTCACTTCCTTCTCCATAAGAAAATAGTCCGTTAACGTAGTGTGATTGCGTAGAGCTACGTCACACGTAGGCTCACTATTGGCCGACGCTGGTCATGTGTGTGTGATGCGTGTGACGTACAATAACAGAAGCTTACGCTATTAAACTAGTAACCTGACTCGCGCAGAGGGAGAAATAAACGAATAGTTGAAATAAAGTCGTTATTTTTGTTGTTTTTTTTTCGCACAAAAGTGTTCTCGTTGTTTGATAAACTTAAGATTGAGCCCCTGTAGTCACTTGGACTATTTTAACGATGTCTTTTATGACTTTTCGGGGACGGCAAGAGCCAGTCCCTCAAGAAGCCTATGGACTGTATGCAGGAGCGATCTTAATATCTTAAATATCTTAATTTGTGTTCCGAAGATGAACGAAGGTCTTACGGGGTTGGAACAACATGAGGGTGAGTAAATACTGACAGAATTTTCCTTTTTTGGGTGAACTAACCCTTTAAAAGTGTGTTTTAATGCGAGTATAGGCCTACAAATATAAGTAAACACTTTGTAGACTGAATGTTGTCCTGTATGAACAAAATGACGGATGTTTTTCATGACTCCACTGTTTGATCGCACCCGCGTGTCTCACACACAGGTTACCTTGTAGAAAATATTTGACCTGGCTGGCAAACCGATTGCCTTTGCCTGCATCTTTGCGGTGACATGACTAAAATATTTAAGACCTATACAATCTGAATTTAAGACAATTTAATACTTTTTAAGGCCTTATTTTTAGGAAAATTGATTCAATACTTTTTAATGACCCACAGCCACCCTGATATTACTTTCTTCTTTCAGCCAAACAGTGTTTTTTTTTTTTCATCAGTCATATTTTTCTTGCAAAAATGCATCCCTTCATAAGGCATTTATTAACCCACTGGATAACTTTTATGATGGATGGATCACTTTTGGCAGGACTAACCCTTTAATGTTGTAATTTGTGGCTAACTTTTACAGCATGCCCTTATGAAAAGCAAGTTCTTACTGATTAAATCTCAATAGAAGGAACTGTCTTTTCCGTAAAATTTAAAAAATGTGTGCCTTTAAAATCCCTGATAAATGAGTGAAGCCAGAGACTTGTCGCAAAAGCTGGAGACTTTTAGAAGTCAACAAATTGCTTTTTTTTATTTGCTTTCCAATTTACAGTACGAACGCAGCACACGGCCCAAAATGTGCTGTAACCCTCATTACAACTCAAGACAGGACTCGGATTAAAATGACAACACCTAGAGAGAGTTCAATTTGCACCTTTTATTCAAGTATATCACAGCAGTTTATTTCAGAAATTACAGTAAATATATCATTTCACAAAAGAAGGACTGCAAGGAAGGACAGGACAATATGTGTGATTTTGATTTGCTTCATAAAAGTACATACAAAAGGAACAAATTCTGGTTCAACTCAACAAAAATAACATTCCCTCAACCTTGTAAATCCTTAAAGGGGTATACATCTACTGATTAAATGAAATGAACTAAACATAAACCATTATTTGCAAACAAGATAAACTTCTCCAACATAAAGCATTGACTTAAACGTATCAAAACTGAACACAACTGGGTTTAGTGGGTCATATTTACCTACATGCTATTGTTCTATGGACTTCCTACTTTCAGTTAAACAATCTGAATTAAACTCTGGTCAAACGCATAGAACTACATAGACTTTCATGCCCACATTGTAACATGTTTAATGCAGGATTTAAGAGTTGATTCTCTAAAAAATATATTAGTGGAGCTTCTAAATGTGACATTTCCTTTCCACATAATGTGCTGACCAAGATTTGATTTCGATTCAGGGCCAATTACATTAGCTACGCAAATAGGGCGTCTTGTGAATTGGCATCAACTGAATCCAGATGCATTTGTGTGATAAACACACGTGGTCAGCATTACAGTAGTTTCATCCAATGCTCCACCATGTTGATGACACTACAGGTGATGGAGAGGGACCCGAAAACACACATCAGCCACATGAACGTCCCCTTCATCCTCAACAGTAATATTTGAAAATGAAAAAGAAGCCTAACCACCATCATCATCATCATCATCATATCCACCCTTATGGAATAAATATTAATGCAGCAGAGACCTGAGACCAGTAAACCCCGTTTCTGAACGTCGTGCAACACCTGCTACAAAAACGTGCTACAAATTTCGTGTAACAATGTTTCCAATTAGTTTTGGTTGAACAAAATGTTAAATCATTGAATAAATAACAAATGGACAGGCAATAGCACTGAAGAAAACGTGACTGCGAAGTTTGAGGGAAATTAAAAAAACATGAAACGGACTGAAGGTAGAAACATGGCCGCTAATATAAAAATCATGGGATGCACATGTAGAAAAACTGAAATATACAGTATATAACATTTCACCGATATCACAACGCCATTTCTTTTCTCGGCTCAAAAGCAGGACAACCCAAAAACGAAACAAACCCGAGGATTACATGACGTGCTCTCACGTACCTTAGCTTGAATTTCTGAAGGGCGCAGTGATATTACAGAGGTCAACAAATACTGTTCGTCAGTAAACAGGTCATTACTTGTGTGTCTCTTCGCATGAAAACAACTTGCTGAGGTAGCTGTGCTTCTGTCTCTCACACACACACACTGCAGTAGTCCAAAGCTAACTTCTAGTTTTTTTCCTTTCTTTTGCATATGTCTTAAAAAGTGTTTTTCCCCCCTCTTTTTTCCATTTTGTTTATAGCACCGAATCCGAGACAAGGTCACAGCGACTCCTGAACCTGGATCAACGTTCTTTACAAAGCGTTGAAAGCTGAGATTTAAAGGGATACTCCACTTTTTTTGGAAATAGGCTCATTTTACCACTCCCCCAGAGTTAAACAGTTGAGTTTTACCGTTTTCGAATCCATTCAGACGATTTTCTGATTTTTAGAAAAATATCAGTAACCAGACAATTAGTTTCTGGTCTCATTGACTTCCATAGTATATTTTTGGTCAACGAGACCAAAAACTGTTCGGTTACTGATATACTTCGAAATATCAGAAAATCAGCTAAATGGATTGGAAAACGGTAAAACCCGACTGTTTAACTCTGGGGGAGTTGTAAAATGAGCCTATTTCCAAAAAAAGTGGAGTATCCCTTTAACACACGTTTGAGAGGGGGAGGGGGGGGGGGGGAGTTAATGATACTTACACAACACCAAAATTGAGATATTAATGCAACAGCTAAGAAACAAGGATTAGCACAATATTAGCACAATGGAAACACTATAAACAAAAAAATATAGTATAATGCTTTACGTTCAAAAAATTCAGCACTGCCTAGACTGCCACTGTAGCCGATTTGCACATCAAAAACATCGCTATTTGTACTCCAAATTTGTGATATTACAATATAAATGGATGGAAAATGTTTGATGGAGCAACCCACAAACCATGAAGATGTTTGAGTTGGTGACTCGAGAAGAGATTGGCAAACAATTCATTACAACATACAACAAGTCTCTTAAAACATCCGGAAAGGGTTTGTAGCGCTGTGGCTTGTCCACAAGCACCGTGGGATACTATTTCAAAGTTTAAGGCACACGCTAGGCAGTGCAATCTCCACATAATCTGCTCGTAAATCCAGAAAACCAGAAAAATGCCCAAATAAATAAACAATAAAGCCCATGAGCTACTCCCAAGGGAGAAATATGTGAGGGGTCTAAAACACTACCATTCCTCTCCTAAAGAATCTATTTGAGCCAAAAATCTGTCCATTTCTTTTTTTGTTTGTTTGTTTTGTATAAAAAATTATAGTGGGAATAGGAGAACACAGTCTCGTTGTTCACAGGGTAAAGTTGGTTTACAATACAGAGGCCTTGCAAAACTTACAATTAACATCCAGTAGAAAACAACTCGTCACTAGACGTCCCTACAAAATGTGTTGATGTTTTTTCCAGCGGGAATATCTATGTGGCTAAAAAGTGTTTTCTCAATAATCTCAATGGTGTGACATCACAGGAGCGGACGTAGAAAGAGGGAGATGTAGTTTATTTCCACAGTAAATGACCAAACTGACTCGAGCTGTGGGGCATCACACCATCCGTATACAGTTTTCCACTGCTGGTGAGAATCTGTGTGTGTGTGTGTGTGTGTTTGTTTCCAGTAGACAGAGGCCGAGGTTGCTTTGTGACATCACGCAATCTTTTATTTTGTACTGTGTTTGTTTGTGTTTTGTTTGCTTGCTTATGAGAACAAGGAGCAGCAGATGAAAACAAAACAAAAAAAAAAAATAAAACAATAGCACCCAATAGCACCAGGAACAATCATCGGCAATTGGCATGTATGAGAGTTTACAAAAAAAGAAACGAGCAAAAACGAAACCTCCAGGAGTTTGTGTTTGGTTCTGTTTCAGGTACCTGAGATGATAGCACCAAGGTCGCCTTTGTTTCAAATGTCTGCACTTTTTTCCCTCCTTTAAGCCCGAGGCGTCCTGCTCCATGTTAAGGACTCGCATCCGAGTGCTGGCCTCTCCCTCTTCTGTCAAAAGAGTCTCCAATCACATTTCTCTCTGAAAGCCCTCTATTCATCACAGGAATGTCTCGAAAATGCTCAAGTTGCCTCTCCATCGCCTGCAAATCAACAGACAGAAACATAAAGGAAATGAATGGCATGTTTCATTAAATGTGAATTTCGGGAATGCATTGACGTCACTTTCCCGCCGGAGCAACCCCCCTCAGCCTAACTGAGTGGCAAAAGATCTGCTGCGTGATTGGATTTAAGAGGGGAAACTTCGAAAATGCGACTAAAATGAACAGTTTGATCAATTTAAACTAAATGTTGGACTCAATATAGTGTTCCTTACAACTTTTTAAAGACCCAGTGATCCATGGATATTATGTTTGCCTGATTTCAACACCGGGGACATAAAAGCAATATAGACCTAAACATAAAGCAAATTTGCCTGTGAACGCTTTATATAAATAGAATATAGGTAGGTCTAAATCCAGGTGATCAGTGTTATATATAGCCTATATATCCTCATATCGTCCAGCCACAAAACTTTATAGTTTTTTTTTTTTTTGGTCAGTGTTCATTAAAAAACATCCAATAATGCAGAATATGCAATGATAAATATTTAACTGATGAGTTGTTAATATTTAAATACAAAATATATGGGTATGGTTTTACACCTAAATTCTGCATATTGACACAAAATGATAACTGCAAATCCACCTTTCGCTGACTGGAGTCCAGTTGTTTCTGTGAATTGCAGCGATCCATTCTATAGCAGTCTGTAAAAATATACCTCAAATCTAGTTGTACAGTCAGTCGCAAAGCTCTTTCCCACTTTATATGTGTTGTGTGTGTTTTTCGTGGCATTCACGCTGAAAACAAATACAGCCGCTCAGTCTTTTTGCCACTCACTGTCTGTGAGTAACTGCAGGCACTCCGGCCAACGGTGATGTCACGCGCATACCCTCTATACATTGTATTCAAGTATAACCATTTATATATGTCATTAATATATACTATTTTAATGGATAATGTATAAACGAAACCAAGATGAGTGACATTTCACCAAAATTTTGCTCATTTCTGTAGGTAATTATTTGAACTACAATATAGTGTTATATGTACAGAACTACATAAACATAACTTATTTTATTATTACATTATGTTTCATTATACACTGCCATTCAAAAGTTTGGGGTCTATTTTAACATTTTTTAATTTATTTTATGAAATCTAGTAAAAACCGTATTACAGTGAAACTATTACAATTTAATCATTTAAACACATCTTTTGCATTTGAATATATTTTGAAATGTAATGTCAAAGCTGAATGTTTTTCAGCATCATTACTCCAGTCTTCAGTGTCACATGATCCTTCAGAAATCATTCTAATATGCTTGTCAAGAAACATTTAATATTATTTTCAATGTTGAAAACTGTTTCCACAAACATGTTAAGCGGCACAATTTTTAAGTTTTTTTTTTAAGAGTATTCAAAAGAACAGCATTTTTGAAAAATCTAATGCATCCTTGCTGATTAAAAATATTACAATAAAGAAAACAGACTCCAAATTTTAGAATGGAAGTATATATTTTTATAGAAATTTAGGACCCTTAATGATTTATTTTATTGATCCATCTACAGTAGTGTGTGGCATTATGGGTATGATAGCTCCAAAATATCATGAGGACATTTCATGTAAAAGGGGACTAAAAAGCTATCAGAGTTTGGTTTAGAAGGAAGTTTTTGGACTATTTTTATAACATCCTAACGATGGGACGTTTTTTACCAACATTGACAAATTCAAAAAATAATAATTGCCATATAAACTGATAGTTACCCCAAAATATAAATTCTGTCATCATTTACTCACCCGCATGTCTTTCAAAAATGGTATGACTTCGGCAAAAGGGGACATTTAGTATCTTGAGCTGCTCTCTTCCATACAATGAAAGTGAAATGTGACCAGAAGTTGTTAAGCTCCAAAAAGGAGCACCATAAATGTAGTCCATAAAACTGTGTGTTAGAAACAGACCTTAAAAATTAAGATATAGTTCATAAATAATCCAGACTACCTCGACAGCTATAGAAAGTTTCATTATGAAAAAAGCAGTGTGAAAATCCTGGATGATTACCGTTTACTGCACTTTCTACTAGCAATTTACCTAAAACGGGACGTCTCGAACATTCACAGAAAATAGTTTAGAGCAAAATAAATACATTTTCTTTTGTGCTTTTACAACGTCAAAATCATACAGGTTTTGATAAGACATGAGAGTGAGTTAATGATGACAGAACGCACATTTTTGGGTGAACTATACCTTTAAAACGCAACTATGAAAAGCAGAATTTTAGACCAATGAGGTTCCGCTGTGGGCGGGGCTAAGATAGTATGGGGAAACAATAATGATGAAAAAAAAAACATAATCAAGCCATCAAATTGATGACACTGTGTCGTGTATGTCACTTTCCGTTCTTTAAAAACAGACATGGGTTTAATACAACTCTTCATCTGACATGGTAATTCCGGTTGAGGTCAAAGTATACGGCGCAGGACAATGCGTAAACAATTAACAAAACCACGTCCAATTTCTGCTATCCTCTGTGGATCTCAGCTCCGGTCCACCGGCTGCAAAAGATCCAACGATATGACAGAGAACGGCGGATTAAAATCTAAACACACACGGCTTTTCCAGATGGTCTCGATCTCGAATCATCCTGGAATAAATAAATATGAGTCCATTAGGGTGCTCTCAAAGAGGAATTGGTACAACAACATGCAAATTAGCCTTCAGTCAAGCCGGCCATAATTCCTTGGAGCAATACTAATCTGTTTCTGCTGGGCAGCTACCATTACTATTGTATTTGAGAACAGCGCACATAATTTCCCAGGAGGACGTGCGAGAGCTCTCTACCATTGGCGCGCCAGCTTAATTTAGACACACAGCAGCTGTTCGGTGTGCCATGTTCAATCACTGTGTATCCATCTCCTCTGAGCCGCTGTCACACACACGACACATGACTGAACTGAACATTATGAGTCATTAGACAGGATAAAGCTACTAGTTAATAAGGTTTTTTTCTATTTTGTATTATAACTACTACTAAAAATAGATAGACATAGATAAAACTATGAAGTCATCATTTATAGGGGAGAGCGGGGCACAACGCAACACTTTTTGACTTTGTTAATTTGTGTAGATCTACTTAGGGTTTAGAGTATTTATTTTCCCCCACATTAATTTTCCACATGTCAAGTACAATTATGTGATTTTGTTTTATTAATACAGTGTATACTTTTTTCTTGATTTAACCTGAAAGAATGGAAGTGAAATGTGACAACATGCCCCATAGACATAACAGCTTATAAATGCTATCTGATCTAATAAAAAAAATATACAAGTCAAACCAAAATATTTTCTTAATAAAATAAAATTATTCACTTCTTCATATAAAATAATGGCATTTTTAATAATTAATAATATAGAAATGTTTGAGTTTGACGACAAACACCCCGGAAAACAGCTATACAGCATAGTTCAAAATAAAATAATAATGAATAATTTCTGAACATTGACTCTCAGTCTTTATTTACATGTTTCTCTTGTTTTCTCAATAGAATTCATAAAAGTATAGAATATAATAGCATATTTCTAATTGTAACACAGTGTGACGACATGCCCCAACTGCACAACTGGGGTTTAAACCCTGCTAGTGTCTTCTGCTAGTTAGCGAAGCATTAAAGAACTATATTAACTGTTAAACAACAGATTGGAGATTGAAATAATATCAGATTTGTCTAAATTTAAATAAACACAAAAAATAGAGATGAAAATTAACTTAAGTAAGAAATGAACTTTTGCTATAGTTAAATAAATATTCAGTGATATCTTACAAAGATTTCAAAATTTTGGCACAATTTTTTCTCTATATAGTGTTAAAATGGCAACTAGTAAATACACCAAGTTTCGTCATGCTAGCATGTGTTACAACTAGCCCCGTGCTCCCCTAATGAAAATACAGAGGTACTAAAACATATATTTATGGTCTAATCCAGTATTTTTAGCAGGTTTTGCTTCAGAAATAAATAAGCACATAAAATAAAATTATAGCACGAAAGTTTAAAAAAAAATGCCCATACAATCAAACAAACTGTAAAAATATAAAACCCAATGATTTATTTATAATTTTGAAATCAGAACACAAAATAAAACGAGAGTACTTTATTGTGAACCCGTATTTAAAGTGTCATGAAACCCCCGTTTTAGCCATCATTTACACCTCAGCTTTGAAAAAGACAAGGACGTGTGAAGCTGTGGAAAAGTGGGAGTGTAGAGGGTGGAAAGAGGAGAGAAAACAACCAAAGAAACACAGACCTGCAACACACTTATTTCTCAGACAAATTAAAATATGAGCGGAGATTTTTATGAGAATATTTGGTCTACATTCATCTTCTGTGTATCAGAATAATCCGTTGTGTCATCGCGTTCATGATTAGACGTACTATGGCAAGCCGTTTTAACATTTAATCATTTAAACCTACTACTCTCTATTTTCATGCCACTAGTACTTATTTTTTTAGATACTAGTATCTATTCCATTAAGTACAAGTACTTATTCAATAGCTACTAGTGCTTATTCTTTAGATACTAGTGTTTATTCTTTAGGTACTAGTACCTTTTTAAAGATACTTGTACGTATATTATAATAATTTCTGTAGGATCATGTGACACTGAAGACTGGAGTAATGATGCTGTAAATTCAGCTTTGATCACAGGAATAAATTGCACTTCACTATATATTCACATAGAAAACCGCTGTTTTAAATTGTAATAATATTTCACAATATTACTGTTTTGTTTTTGTATTTTTCATCAAATAATTGCAGCCTTGGTGAGCAGAAGAGACTCTTACCGATCTAAAACTTTGGACCGGTAGTGTATATCAAATCACATAAAGCTAATAAAATATTATCTAGTGAAAGTGTGTGGCATGCTATTATGTGGTACAATTACCACACAAAAGCCTCTCTTAAATATGGGTATGTCCAATCTTTTTGCTTGTGCCCATGAAGCACACATGTAATTTGATAAATTGCACAACCAGTAGGGCCATAAAGTCATTGAACATCATATTTCACGTGTGGGTGGGTGTGTGTGTGTGTCACTCAACCTCTATCAGATGGGTCTTGTCGTAGTCTCTGCGGTGCTGGTAAATACACTGGCTGAGCACCGAGTAAACTCTCTCCAGATGATCCACACTGAAGCCCTCACATTTCACAACCACCTGCTCCAACAGAGCCTGAAACAGAGGAAAATAAAACACGATTCAACATAAATTTCTTTCCTTTACATCAGTATGTTCATGTTATTCTAAACCTGTGCGACAGAAATTTTGAACACTGTTTTTAAAGCTCTTTTCCATGCAATTACAATTAAGGTTTCAGGACCTGGCTCGTTTTGGAGCGTTTGTTTCAAACACGGTGCGCTTTCTCCATTAATTCGGTTTGTTTAGGCAAATATGAACACGTCAATCGTGTTCAAATCCACACCAAAACAATCGCTCTGAGATCACCTGAGCGAGGTGGTCTTGGTCCAATTGAAAACAAACCCTGGAGCGTGAGAAAGCAATCCAGACCCAACGAACCAAGTGCAATTGCTCAGATGAAACACTGACTCTAACAGCATAAATTAGAAATATAGAATTTTAAATATAATTATATATGAAGAGTTCAGATGCAAAAGCCTCTAAACGCCATTGAAATTTTCTTCTTTAATGATGATTTTTATCAAACTTGTATATTTAAGTTCAGTAATTTCACTTAAATAACAATTAATAGGTAATTATCATTGCCATTTAAGTGAAATCACTGAACTTAAATATACAAGTTTGATAAAAATGATCATTCTAGAAGAAAATTTCAAATGGCACTTAGAGGCTTTTGCATCTGAACTCTTCATTATATATATATATATATATATATATATATATATATATATATAATTTATTAGACATAATGGGAATCACGTTTAAGTGTTTGCGTGTCACGACAGCTACAGATAAATGCACAATAAGCCTGTGGAGTCAACAGATTAAACTCTGACCGTTTTACTCACTTGTGACTTGCATAAACACCTTTTGGTATGCTTTGAAATGTTGCCTTGTGAAAGCGAACCGAAAAGAGTAGAAAATGCAACATTAAATCCCTGTTTCAGAACAAAGCAAACGATCGGCAGGTCTGAAAACACCCTGAGAGAACAAATCTTTCTTTTAAGTCAAATCTTTCTAATAAGTTGATTGATTCAGTTTACAAAACCAGTCTGAATAATTCATTTGAATTGGACAGTGAATCAACTCACTGACTTCATCCCTTTGCAGTGGTGGAAAAACAACTTCATTTTCAGTCTGTTCATCAGACAAACGCTTCAGAAGACTATTTCTGAACCAATTTTATAGTGCTTTTGTATCCGTTTTTTGCTTGAAATCGTAATTATAATTGCATGGAAAACCACTAAAAGCCTTTAAAATTTCTTCTGTTGTGCTCCTTGAGTTTGGAACCACATTAGAGAAGTAAAGAAAGACCACTTTGATGAGTATGGTCAGATTTGCCAAAGCAGAAGTAATGTTCTTAGCTTGGATGCTTAATAGTATTTGATTCGTTAATGGCAGGAATAATGCTTTGGTTTTCCTTTTTTTCAGAGAGAAAAGCTCTTACACTTAAATGAGTCATTTTTGCTTAAGTAAGATCTGGCTCTAAAGGAGGCATCTGGAAGTGAGGTCATGAATGAATCACATATAGTCCTCAAATACACACGCATCAAGCAGTTTTGTAAGGTTCAGGGTGACATATGAGAGGCACAGTCTCTCATTCGGATTTTCTTGGGGATGTTGGACCTGCACCTGCTAACACATAACATTTCAGTCAAGCATTAAAGCCGCTGATGAACGTGCGTCCTGCGGTTTGCTGTGCTGTAGTGGAAAATGGCTGCGGTGTTTGGAAGAGGCTTAATTTGAAGTTGAAGTTTAATGACATTGTTTAAGTTTACGGATATCTAGCTACAAACATGCAGTGGGAGCTGACAGCTAATGCAGTCTGTCTATCTGTGGACAAACATTTTGATGTAAAATAAACATGCAGATTAACACTGTTGTTTATTAATACCAATTAATTTAAAGGGTTAGTTCACTCGGTCAACCTCATGTCGTACCTAACCCGTAAGACTTTCATTCATCTTCAGAACACAGATGAAGATCCTTTTGATGAAATCCAAAAGCTTTCTTTCCCTTTGACAGCTAACTACCGTAGTTTAGTCCGAATTTTCTAAAGTGACTCGATCACTTTGTATATGGTGAGCAGATTTAATTTAGGCTTTTTTTCCCACATATAAACAACTCAAAAGCTCAACTGAACCTGCTTGACACATTAGAACAAACTTCTTGCCGAAGTTCGGACTTCCTTTGTAACACGAGAATGAATCTCATTGGTTCTCGCGCATCAAGCGAACCCGCTTCTGTTTTCCATATCTGATGTGTTAGTTGAATGTTTATATGTGAATAAAAGGCTAAATTAAATCTGTTCATCAAATAAAGCGATTGAGTCTCTTCAAAAAAAAAGTTTGGACTAAACCACTCAATTCATATGGACTAGTTTTACGATCTCTTTGCAATTTTTTTTTAAGCTTTAAAGTGGTTGCATAGCTGTCAATGGAGAGACAGAAAGCTCTCAGATTTCATCAAAAATATCTTCATTCGTGTTCCGAAGATGAGCGAAAGTCTTTTCAAAATGAACGAATCATTTTGTTCATTTCATTCGTTGAATGAACCAAATGACTCGGAAAAAGATTTGTTTATTTTGATGAACATGTTCGAACAGGAGAGTCACGAATGTGCGTCACAGAACAGAGCAAGGCGAGCATTTGAGCTTATAAAACTTAAACTGTGTTATTTATTTATTAAATGAGTGATCGTTTCGCTTGATAAGACTTATTCATCGTCTGAATTCGTTTAAAGCCCTTTGAAGAGTTTGCAGTTTGCACTGAAACTGTCTTTTGGACCTTGAACCGTTTGGTTCCCATTGAAGTCCATTATATGGAGAAAAATGCTGGAATGTTTTCATTAAAAACCTTAATTTCTTTTCGACTGAAGAAAGAAAGACATGGACATCTTGGATGACATGGGGGTGAGTAAATTATTAGCAAAAGTTTTTTTTACTAAACATCGATGAACGGCTGAAAACAGAACTTTTTTTAAGCTATATGACCCAGCCTTAGTTATATTCAAATTTCCGAAATTTAATAAACTTTGAATGTTTGAGATGACAGTAACATGGCTCTATTTCGTAATTTTCAGGAGGAATTTATTTCAAGAAACTGCTCTAATGAACTTCCTCTGAAGCCCTGTTTAAATGTCAAATGTACTTATGAGAACTGAATAAAACTGAGTGGGAAAATAAATGAACATCTACAGAGAAGGTAACCTCCAAAAAATAGTTTGACCAGATGAACACCTACAAATGAAACAACTCTGACAACACTGAGCCCCCAACACGTACACTCAGAAAGAGAGGTCAGCCATCTTCAAAAGCAATTACGATCACGGCGACAGCTAATTAAGGCACATCATAATTACCATCCATTTCATGCGCAGCTCCAGAATGCAAGTATTTACTGTTTGCACTTGGTTTAATTAAAACGCCTCAGAATTCACAGTGGCCTTTAAATTGACATGTTCATCACAACGATCCTCCGGCCAATCGTGAGCTAATCAAATCGCGCTGGAACGAATTATTACTCAGACTGCATTGGTCAGAGTCAACTTAAACAGTGCCAGTTTCTGATAAGGTTGGAGCCAGAAAGAACAAAGAGCACACAAGCACAAGGCAGTGTGTACCGAGATTGCAAAAACACAGCAGTAATTGAGGTTTCAGGTTTGGTTTTGAGGAGATATTTAATGAGAAAAAGCATCCCCTACAGATAAGTTTGAACCCATATCTTTGCAGTGTGATGACAGCCCCTCAACCAATGAAAACAACCAAACGTCTTCATTAAAAACCACTGGAGGACATTGAAGGTAAATATCAACATACTGAATAGCAACAACACCAGTAAACAACTCCATGCTCAGCCCAAGCGTGCAAACAACCAAAGTCCATTTTATTAGTGACTATATTAGTTAGATAATTGTGTTCACTTGGCTGAAACTGACAGAATTGTCAGTTCCAAAATAAAAAATAAAAAAAATGGAATAAATAGTGTAAACTACATGTATAATATCATAATACCATTATTTTGAACTTATTATATTTATTTATTACTTTGATCTCTGATATATGTTTAAGTTGTTATTGCCAGTCGTTATTGTATAAGACATTATTGCCAAAATAGTCAATGGTATTCTGGCAATGTAAAATTATGAATGAATGGCAGGAGACAAAATGCTAAATAAAAACATTTCAATTACAGGGATTAGCTGTGGACCCTGTTGTTCCTCCTCAGTGTCACTGACTGGGAGAACGGTCATGGATGGCAGACGCCCTCCATCAACCCTGAATAGAAAGGTAATCCTAGCTTTAAAAGGCTTGTTCACACAGTCCATTTGACTTTCGCTCGAAGACTTTCTTCGTGTAATAACCTAACCAGCCTATCCATATATATCACAGATGGAGTGATAGAGGCATTATGGGTTTAGAACACAAGCCGGTCAACTAACAGGAAGATTTCAAATTTCACAGCAACACGGTTAAAGGAGTAGTTCACTTTTTAAAAAACTTGCTGATAATTTACTCACCCCCATGTCATCCAAGATGTCCATGTCTTTCTTTCTTCAGTTGAAAAGAAATTAAGGATTTTGATGAAAACATTCCAGGATTTTTCTCCATATAATGGATGTCAATGGGAACCAAACGGTTCAAGGTCCAAAAGACACTTTTAGTGCAAACTGCAAACTGTTCAAAGGGCTTTAAACGATTTCAGACGATGAATAAACGACCGCGAAACGATCGCTCATTTAAAAAATAAATAACAAAGTTTAAGTTTTATAAACTCAAATACTCGCCTTGCTCTGTTCTGTGATGTGCGTTCGTGACTCTCCTGTTCGAACTTGTTCATCAAAATGAACAAATCTTTTCCTGAGTCAACTCGTTAATTTCGTTCGTTGAATGAACCAAATGACACGAAAAAAGATTTGTTCATTTTGATAAACGAGTTCGAACAGGAGAGTCACGAACGCACATTACAGAACAGAGCAAGGCGACCATTTGAGCTCATAAAACTTTTTTTTAAATGAGCGATCGTTTCGCTTGA